GGTACCTGACCTGAGCTTGCGCTTTACCCACTAAATCCCAGGAATCTCCCGGAAATACCTGTTGGGTGGTGGACAGGGTCGTCGACACAGGAAACAGGGCAAATAGCATTGGAGCCAACCTTCTAGGAAATACATTACTATTGTATTAGAATACTGCTGTAATCTTTGGCATTAACGACTCAGGAAGTGATGGTGTCTACGGGTGGTGGATATCCGCCCCAAATAAACTTATTTTTGTTTCAAAATTTTAGATTAAAAAATACGCAAATTCTTACTACATATAATAAATCTTTTATGCTTCTTTTAATACTGTATATGATAGTGGTTTTTAGTACTGTATTATGACAAATTTAAATGTAAAATACTTGCAGTTATTTGAACTTTAATTCATTATTTCTTAGGCCGCGAACGCTAAATATGTAACAGATGTTCGTGTACAGTAGTTAAACAATAAAAAATAGTGCATTTCATCACTAGAGGGTACCTATTTAACAGTACTGTATTACGAAACATTTATATGTAAAATACTTGTAGTAATTTGAACTTGAATTCATTATTTCTTAGGCCGCGAACACTAAATATGTAACAGATGTTCGTGTACAGTAGTTAAACAATAAAAAATAGTGCATTTCATCACTAGAGGGTACCTATTTAACAGTACTGTATTACGAAACATTTATACAGGGTGAGTTTTAATTGTCCGAGTTTCTACGCCCAGCCGTTCTCTCAAAATAGCTGTCACAAAGAAAAACTGTTTCAAATTAATATATAGATACTGTTGTATGGGTAATATTTTTGTACTATTGAGTGGATGGATTCTTATGTAAACAAGCCTTGAAATCATATTAAGTGAGACTAATTCGTCAACGTTTGTGATTAATGAAAGCTATAGTGACAATAGGCGGATGGTGGCCACACCTTCTGCAGTTAGTCCAGGAGCTGAGGGGGTTTGAGCATGCATGAAAGTAGTACGCAATGTTATTGCTGATTATTGTAATATGGACTGTGGTGATCAAAATTACGTATGTCGCCTATTTCAAAAGTGGTCGATAAGGTGGGGGGGAGGGGGCAAACATGGCGGTTTGCGCTATGCGTTAAAACGCTGATAGTTCGAAAACGGTAAAAGATAGAACATCGGTTAAAACGTCGTTGGAATTCTAGAAATGTGAACAACAATAATTGTTATTGGGTCTGAGGTCGTATCTCTATAAATAAACAAGTTATTGTATAAAATGTGTAAAAATGGACTTTTCGTGTATTTTTTTAACCGAAAGTAGAATTAATTTGTGAGTGTCGCAAAGAAGTAATATCAAATATCTTTGCTGATAGTTGTAATATGGACTGTGGTGATAAAAAATACGCATGTCGCCAACTTTTCAGGTGGTCGAGAACTTGGGGGGAGGGGGGCAAAGATGGCGGAACGCGCTATGCATCGAGACGACTGTAGCTCGAGAACGGTACGAGATAGGACATCGGTTGAAACGTAGTTTTAATCAAAAAAATATTACCAATAGAAAAGGTCATTGGGTAAAAAGTTGTATCTTAACTAATAAAAAAGTTATAACAATAATAAGTTTAACAAAATCTACATAGTACAGCTATTTTTTTTCGAAAAGCGTATGGATTATTGATAAATAATAGTGTAATTCCTTAATTACTCGGCTATATTATTAACTAGATGCATTTTCTTATAAGAAAAAAATATATTATTACGAATAAATTTGGTTTAAAATGTAAAACACGGCCTCCAAACGCCTTGGGGTTCGTCCGATAGGTTGCGTCATAATTGATGTGCAGTGCTGCTGATATCGGATATCGGATACATACAATACATTTTAAACCAAATGTATTGTATGTAAAACACGGCCTCCAAACTACATTATAATACTTGGGGTTTCGCCGCAATCAAATGCATAATACAGACTACCACTACAAATCCAATTTTAATTATTATAAAGTTGTAGGTTATTATAATATGATTATGTAACAGATTCTTATTCAGTTATGCCAGTTATTCAGTTCTTATTAACAGTTGTGCCGATATCAGCAGCACTGCACATCAATTATGACGCAACCTATCGGACGAACCCCAAGGCGTTTGGAGGCCGTGTTTTACATTTTAAACCAAATTTATTCGTAATAATATATTTTTTTCTTATAAGAAAATGCATCTAGTTAATAATATAGCTGAGTAATTAAGGAATTACACTATTATTTATCAATAATCCATACGCTTTTCGAAAAAAAATAGCTGTACTATGTAGATTTTGTTTAACTTATTATTGTTATAACTTTTTTATTAGTTAAGATACAACGTTTTACCCAATGACTTTTTCTATTGGTAATATTTTTTTTATTAAAACTACGTTTCAACCGATGTCCTATCTCGTACCGTTCTCGAGCTACAGTCGTCTCGATGCATAGCGCGTTCCGCCATCTTTGCCCCCCTCCCCCCAAGTTCTCGACCACCTGAAAAGTTGGCGACATGCGTATTTTTTATCACCACAGTCCATATTACAACTATCAGCAAAGATATTTGATATTACTTCTTTGCGACACTCACAAATTAATTCTACTTTCGGTTAAAAAAATACACGAAAAGTCCATTTTTACACATTTTATACAATAACTTGTTTATTTATAGAGATACGACCTCGGACCCAATAACAATTATTGTTGTTTTAGAATTCCAACGACGTTTTAACCGATGTTCTATCTTTTACCGTTTTCGAACTATCAGCGTTTTAACGCATAGCGCAAACCGCCATGTTTGCCCCCTCCCCACCACCTTATCGACCACTTTTGAAATAGGCAACATACGTAATTTTGATCACCACAGTCCATATTACAATAATCAGCAATAACATTGCGTACTACTTTCATGCATGCTCAAACCCCCTCAGGTCCTGGACTAAGTAGCCTATCTATAAAAGCTATAATGTATATACAAAACTATAATATCTATAACTAATATTATGATGGTCAATTTATACATATCCACTGTTTTTGTATCTTGAACTGAGGTGACACATATTTCGTCAAATCGTCGTTAAAATTGGTTAAAAACTGTTTAAATATACAACTTTTAGCACGGTGTTTGTAACTAAACTAGCCCTAACTTAGATTTAAATCCATCTAATACCTGCTCTTGCTCTGAAGTGCTCTGGGGCTCAGGTCCTTCTTGGAAGTACCGTACCTAATCCTATTCATAGTTTTTGGCCAGCTTGCTGTGTCAAACACCCCATATCACCCCTTCCCTACTTCCCTCTTACCCACAAAATCTTTTCAATTTACCTATAGGGAATCTTTTGGGGACAGCAGACTCAGAGCTACCCACGTTCCCTATTGTTCGTTGCGGAGGGTAAGTTTCTCATAATCACCCCAGGCCGAAAGTCCTACACTCATTCAAAATGGTGCCGCCAATTTAGACTGCCGCTGACTGGGCGGCGTCATTACTGTGCGTTGCTTATCATGAACGTTGGTGGAGCCGTATTTAAATGCCCTTATTCACTTGCGTACCATCATGGCACTCATAATGTTTTTGCCATGCACTTCACTAATCTGTCGGTGACATTCAATGGCTTTCACACCTTTAGCATTTTAAAATCTAATTACAGCGTGCACTTCACAGTCGGTGGCAGTCTTAATTGGCGGCACCATTTTGAATGCTCGGATGTAAACACGGCTGATTGTTCTCGAATGTCCAGGTCTTACCAATAGATGCCCATACACAGTGCAAATGTCGAAAATGCCAATCGCAGTGCTGGAACGGAGAAATTTAAAAACGGTACTAACTTAAAAAACATGCCTCTTATTTCTGTAGAATATTAAGAACAAATTATGGACTGCAGGATATAATCTGTGGATTGTAAGTAAAAAATCTGTGTTTCACATATATTAAATAGTTATTATCAAATAAATAATCTAATCCCTTCATTTTTAGTGTGAATAACAGAGTAGTAAAACATAATCTTTATCAAAAAACTTGATTTATTATAAAATTAAAAATGACTAAAGGACAACACAAGATGAACAACAAGTAATAATGTTGATAAAAAACATTTATTGTAAAAAATGTACAGTACAAGGTGTCTACTACATTCTGGATAAAAAAATTCATGGACAATTCCCGTACATTTAAGGACACTTTGCCGTAACCTTTGTCGGTGTCATTAGGCCTAACGAATAATTTTCCTGATTTGTCAAACTGTATTAATCTTGTTATTCACTTTAGTTGTACCAGAGAGAAAAGTAAATAATAATAGATAAGAGTTAAAAATTACAAAATAGAAATTTATTATATCCGATCCAGGCCGATTAATTTGGCATGATTCGCCCTGGCACAACGTTAGGTTCTCGACTACTTTTGAAAGAAAATCTTTAATGCATATTTTTACTCAATTCTTAGTACAAAATCAAGGTATGGTAAGCGGCTATTAATAAGCAATAAGCACAGAGTAAGATTATTGTATTTTCATTTGCAAAGTTAATATCGGCACATAGCAATCATTAGTTGTTCATCTTAGGCTCAATTACATTTTCTTAATATATTTTACAGCTCTTTCAAGAATCAAAATACCCAGGCCTAGACCTAATTATTTAGGAGGGCCTATATAAACTGAGTAACAAACAATGAGGTTATAATAGCAGCGAAGTCACTATCATCATTGTAGTTCATAATATTTTGATTGCTTAAAGCATACAACTCAATAAATAAATATATGGGAAAAAAACATTGAAACCTGAATAGCCAACAATATAAGACAAAGATACAGAAAATACAATGACATAATTTGAAACCAAGCAGGCCTACATAGTGATAAAACATTAATGCAAACAACAATATAAGTTAAGTCTTTTACTGGCCATGAAATGTACGGGAATTGTCCTTAAATGCCAGACTATGTCCTTAAATTTTTAATGGGCCATAATTTTATAGTAAAATTATGGCCCATTAAAAATTTAAGGACATAGTCTGGCATTTAAGGACAATTCCCGTACATTTCATGGCCAGTAAAAATTTAAGTACAATTCTTGGTTTCCCCGGATTTCCCGGTTGGTAGACACCCTGCCAGGTTATCACTGTGATAATGCGCGTTTAGTTTTGTTTGATACTCTGGTCCCAGCTTGTCTAAACCACTCCCTCACTCTTACTTCGAAAATCTTGATTGTAAATGTTTGAGGGTGTGATGCTGCTACAACTCCTGAAAAAAAGAGTGTTGTTTATATTAAGATATAAACATTTTGCTATACAAAAATGGCGGCATACCATAGCTCTGTACATAGGCTAATATCGATACCCCAAAGCCCAGCGGACTATCAAAACAAAGTAGACGTTATAAAGTTCGTAGCAGTATCCAACAGCTATAAAAGTGAAAAGATTGGCAAAAAAATCCAGAGAATCACACAAAAACAAAATTAACACGTTTGCTGCGGCATACGTTAAACAGGCGCTCGCCAACTGCAGCGGGGCCCACGTGAAGCCCCGGCGTGTCCCTGAATCAACGATTGCAATTGGCATTCAAATAATTCAATCTGACAAATCACAAAAAAACAGCAGTGATTGTGCTGCTTTACTTTGAGTGTAGACGTAGCTCACTGAAACACCCAAGGGTAGCAGCACTGACTGGATCCGTAGCCAGTGTCATTAAGATGTTATAGAAATACTCCATTAAAAAAATGAAGGACCATTCATGACAACAAATGAGAATTTTGAAATATTCAAGGCTGTAAAACAGGACCCACAAAATGTTTTGAATGACAAACTTTCTTTTGCATCTAATGTTATATACGATACAGCAAAAACAATTGTTGATAAGCAACACAATAGCAATAAAAATAAAGATTATTCAAATGCTATTGAATAATCTGTTTTTTACTTACTTTCATCTCAAAACAAAAACAAAAATTAACTGTAGCATATATGCGGCGGCGTTCAGTCTATTTCAAGAAAAGTATAATAATTGTCATTAATGTCTTAGCTATAGACCGGATGTCACCTCTTTCATGATCAGTGTTTAACAGGTTTTCACCTGTGGTTTGTGTGTACTGTTAACCAAGTGACAGCCGGTCTATGTGTAAGATTAAATTGTATACCTCGGTCCGTGGCAATGATCGCGGCGCCGCATATATGCGACTAATCAAGATACCAGCCTGTAAAATCATTATATAAGTAATGTAAACAAACTTACTTTCCAAAGCCTTGATGATGGCAAGGTTGTTTAGTGCCCTCTTCCCTTTCCTTCCTTCCCAGCTGAAACTTACAGCAACCTCGTTGCTTAGTAGCCTCACCAACGTCCTTCTCACAGAGTCCTCTACCGAACTCCCCCCGACTCTTGTAAAGAAGTCAATCTGAAAAATGTGAGCTAATGGTAAATGAAATCTCCACTAGACAGCTTATAATTTGCCAGACACATCATAATAATGTAAATGTAAATCATAAAAATTACTAGGCCTAATTAATTCATAACAACAACAATTAGTGAAATGATGAGATGTACGGCAGGATACATTCAACTAGCGAAAGAAAATAAACAAATTAGCAATGTGTTTACCAGAGCAAGTATCAATTTTCAATAAATGGCCAAGAATTAATGAATAAACCTACAAATATGAGGCCTAACACACAATTAAACGCACCTTTTTTTCTGTTGAGTAGCATTGAAATGTGCTAAATAATTATAATCCCAAATAAATAATAATAATTATTATTATTGTCCACCAAACACTTTTTAGAACATTGTGTCCACAGATACACATAATAGGCAGCTAAAAATGTATTTTTAGTTATAACAGGTTTTACCTCAGCCATTAGTACTTTTAATGATATAACTGCAGAATCGGAATCGGCCGCTAAACATATACTGCAATGGGCAAAGTCACATTTAAAATATCCTAGCCTAATTAAAATTCGACCAATAAACAGGCCTAGATCTGAACACAGAATGGTAACATTGAATCATAAAAAGTGTTTTCCAAGACTCGTTGACATTGTATAGGGTTGACATAGGGTTTCCACTAACCAATTTTGACAAAACCTAACTCACAGTGATATAACTTTGGAAATAACTACATCATATCTGTTTATGAAAGTGAATTTAACTCACCATCAAATTGTTGGTTTCTTCATTTTTTAATGATTCTTCCAACTCGATAAACTCTTCTAGAGTGTTGATGGGAAATTTGCTATTGAAATTGATCTTTGTTGTGTTGTCCACGGCAGTTAACGAATGAGGAGCGGCCTTGGCAATTTGTGCGACGAAATCCCTCACCTCCCTCACCTCCATCCGCATCAGCCGCACTGTCCTCTCCATGCTCTCCATACGATCTGGAACATAGCACAAACATTAACAAAATGTTCACAAATTTTAATTTTAATCCTCTTTAATTTAGTAAAAATACATTTCAGTGTAGTGTCAGAAATGCAATATACGAGGCATGTGTTTTAAGTAAGTACAATTTTTTAATTTCTCTGTTCCAGTGCTGAGATTGGCATTTTGGACATTTGTACTAACATTTGTGTGTAAGGGTATTTAAAGGCAGCCGCACAACGTTCAGGATGAACAACCCAAAAAGAACTGGGGTCAGTAATGACAGATTACCTTGACCTTACACGCTTGCGTAGCATTCCATCACTCATAATTAATGTTCTCGTCATACACTTCACTAATCTGTCAATGAATTTTAATGGCTTTCACAACTTTAGCAATTAAAAACCTTATTAAAGTCACACAGTCGACGCCAGTCTCAGTTGGTGGCACCATTTTGAATGCTTGAAACCGGATGTATAAACAGCCGACTTTTACCGGATTTCTGGCGCAGGCTTGCCAATAGATGTACATACGCAGTACAAATGTCCAAAATGACAATTGCAGCGCTGGAAAGGAGAAATTCAAAAACAGTACCTACTTAAAAACATGCCTAATTTTATAAAATTACAATAGGATCTTTTAAAGTTTATTGACTCAACAGCTAATGTATGCCAGTAAAAATTGCTTTTAGACAGACAGGGAACAAAAGTATAATTCAACACGGTACAACAATTAACACGTTAGTCAAACTAAAATTGAGATGTCTAAAAGTTGACTGAGCTGGGAGAAAAATTCATGTGCAAATTAGGCCAAATTAATAGCCATTGTAATTCAGAATGAATGTTTGTCAACTTTTTACCTTCCATTTTCTTTATCTGATGCTCCATTCTCTCCATTCCTCCCTCATTGTGGGATGTTGATGGTGTCTCTGATGCTACATAGAGCGAAGAAGTCCCTAAAATCACAGCATATTTTATGATCCAAGTTAATTATGAACTTAATTTCAAGTGTGCAAGACTCACATATCATGCTCCCTAGGGGTCTAAAGGGAGGCTGGGGTTCCTGCCATGGAAAGTTTTTTAATTTAAGGTGTAGACCTTAAATAGTTATATTCTACAAACACAGTTATATTCACTTTTGAGCCTCTCTCTATGAATTTGCCAATCAAAAATAAATTTTATCAAGAATGGTCAATTTTTATGCCCCTCCGTAAGGCTCGAGTGTGCAGCTGTATATGTCGCACATCCCTCAGGCCGGCCCTGTTTATATTGTTTTTTATACTGAAATATGTAGTACCGTATTGTCATTAATTGATAATTTTTGGCGGGCAAGACTGATTTTACCATAATTTTTTTTTTTACAAATTTGCCCAAACGTAAGGAATTCTTGAACACAGGTAATTAATTATTCCTGTACAGTTTTATGCATGATTTACGTTTATATTAAACTGTTATCTTTATTTAACGATATTACAGAGATTAGATTATTCTTTTAACTTGATGGGACTAATTTTTATTCATGATAGGCTACACATTTCTTTACACCCAAGAAAAATAAATGTAAATAATTAATTACTATTTAATAACCAATAATACTTGCCTTCACTTCTGTCCTTCATATTGGAAGAAGTCTGAGCTTTTGGTGTAGTATAATTGATTTGGTTCTGGATTGGCCTCGGTTTTGGAAGTTTTGGAGGCGGAAGGTCACTGTCTTCCCCGCTGCTCGAGTCGCTGAAGAGTCGCATGCTTGGTTTCTTTATCCTACGCCCTCTTCCAGCGTCAGACTCAGCGCAAGAGCCCAGGTCTGAGGTACTCTGCGCCTGTCTCTCTTTCAGAAGGGCAGTCGGCAATTCATCTGGAGGATAATTGAGTTTTTTATTTACCACAAAATGATGATGGAAATAGTACGTACACATGATGTAAAGTTTGCAATTATACTCTTTGCAACATTTTTTAAAAGGCCAATAGAAGTCTCTTTTTTAAAAACGGCAAGGGATCTATCTATTTATAGTACCTACACACTAATATCTGCACAGGTACATTTTCTTTGATTCATTCTGTATGAACGAATATGTTTAAGGGTGGAACAGAGTAAAGGTAAATTGGCCAAGATTAAGTATTGCCTTTTAACACTGAAACTGAATTTACAGTTATATTTATTTTTACCTCTCAAGAAATATATACCTTTTATAGCCTATAAGGAAATATTCATGAACCAAACATAGGAAATGCTGCTTTGAATCATGTTCATAATTCAAAAGTGAGGTAAAATGTTGACGCTAGTTATAAAATCGCCATGAATAAATAAATAAAAATTATGTTTAAAGCTCACCACACGATGTTAGAACTCTAATTCGCCATTTCTCCCATGATGCATTTGGCGGTTTGTTTGTTACCATCGCCTTTCTGACGCTTATAGTGTTGTCTGGCCAAGCGCATTCCAACTCCCCGTTCTCATTTGTCTCCATCCACGTTTTAAGTATCGTGGCCACCTCAGCCGTGTCCACAAACTCTACTACTACATATTTTTTTTAATCTTTCTCCATTTCGACACCTATAAAACAAACAATAATTTATAATAATGGTCACTGCATGCTAAATTTCATACATACCTACCTATTCAACAACGGACATTTACATCTAATGTGCATGTGGTATTGTATTGTTCCATATTACAACCTTTTTATTTACTTATTTGTTTACAGCATGATTGCCATTTAAAAAATCAATTACATGCATAACAATTTGTGGATTAATTAATACTATTAACATGCTGTAAGTTTCACATCTTGCTTTTTGGTCATGCTTTATGAATACATGCTAACACTAATGATTTGCAACTGAGTAATGATTAGTGAAATATGAAAAACCAATATATATAGCCTACTGTATACCATGAACATACAACATCGGCAAACAAGAAAAAAAACATGCAATATGGTCTTGAAATTCAACTAACATTAACAGCCTGCTTCGCTAAATACAGGATCAAAAAGGAAAACATCAACAATTTGAAGATTTTGCTTGGATATCAATTAAAATTTAAAACATTCTGACATTACCATTTGTTAAGAATATTTAGATAGGCTACATCACTTAAATTACAACCCTTTAAATAATTAGAATATTAGGCTATGACAGAAAGTTTAGATTTGTTTGCAGCCTAACAATAATGGCCTAACAGAAATTTATTTTGAGCTTTTCAAGAACTTTTTTGTATTTAAAATGTTAGGTTACCTAATTGCATCTTAAATACTATAACTGAAAATATGCCTTTTCAACTAACAAAGAATTATGGATAGATTACCTTTAGACAGCTACTGGTGTAACATGACAGAAAGGTAAAAAGTATTTTCAGCAATTGGAATTTTTAAGACTTTTCTTGAAATTTTTGTCAAGCTCCAGGTTTTCAGGGCTGAGAGTTTTGAGGCTTTGAAAATGCCAACATTGCCAGAATCATAGGGTTTGTTAAAAAAATTTTCTAATTCCAAAAATTGTCTTCCTACGAAAACTGGTCTATTTTCTCCATCGGTAGCAATATTTTCTACGATGCAAATTATGCCGTTCTTTAATTGAACACAGTTTTCCTTTGCCCTTGTCTGGATCACAAACCTAGGAAACGTACATTTGGAATGCTGTGGACTCCCTACTCCATGAACAAGTGGGCCATCATTATGAGGTTCACCTAATAACAATGAATCAGGTGCCAGTCCAACATCATCAAGACAATTATCTTTCAATGACCTTTCTTCAGCCTCTCTTCTTATCAGCTGCTGCAGGGGTAGACTACTTTTCCTAACACGCTTTTTAACGCCCTTCAGAAAATTTTCAAATTTGAAAGCACTGAACATATCTACAGGTCCTAGTCTAACAACGTCTTCAGCAACATGCATCAGTGAATGGACATTATAGGAAATTTGCTCTGAGCCATAAAGCTGTCCAAAGTAGGTCAAGAAGTAATCTATTAAATCCCCGGCAGTCTCCACATGAGTTGAAATTAATTCTGAGCTTATTAAAATCCTCATTGCACAACACAGAGCAAAGAAGTGAGAATACAATTTCTTAGGCAACGAGTCCCTCAGCACCAAAGGCCCTGTATAAAGTAGTAGCTGCCTAAACTCTGTTGCCTTCCATCTGTCAACTTCTTTCAATGCTCTAGGGGTCCTAGCAAATTATCGTGGAATGCACTTTTTTACATTTAATAAACCTTCTGAAATTGAATTTATTTGGAAGCTTGAAAGGCGAACAGGAACCTTTCCCCTCATCCAGAACAGAACCAATTTTCTCATGACCCCTAAACAAACCAGGTATATAATCTTGTGGGAAACTATGTACCATGTCAATTCCAGAGATTTGTTCCATGACAGAATCACCAGTGTGATGGTTCTTCTGTCTTCTTGAAATAAAGTCATGATTACAGCGAAGGGCAGCATCTTTTTCAGGAAATGTCATCCGGTTTTCTACGTACTTCCCTTCCTGAGTACACCTATCACAACCAAAATAACCGTTGTGACCTTTGATATTTTTTACAAATGCTCTGGCAGGAGCATCACAAGTAATTGCTTGCAAATTTATTCCAAATTGCCTACCATTAAAGCTGACACCATCACTGGAACATCTATTAAATTCTTTAACAAATTCTTCTAGCAACAAGTTGGAAGATTCTGGCTTAGTGTAGCCATGGTAACAACCAATCAAAAAAACAGAGTCATGTTTGATATCTGGAAGGGCGCCCAAAATTGGCCAAAATTGACTACCTGAACTTTTTGCTAGTGGTAAACCATCAACATTTATGTGAAGTGTTAAATTTTCAGGTATTTTCACACCCACGGGACACTTTTTAAGGGTTGCAGACACTCCGTTTTCAATGCCAAAATGGTAGTATGACCCTGGTGCAACTGGTTTTACTTCATAACTTCTTGGAGTATGGAGTAATGTACGACTGTCTGTAGGTAAGGATTCAAAGCAGGGATGTTCCTTTAGAAGCAGCAAAAGTTTATTTACATCTGTGTGGGAAATATTTCCTTCTACAGCCCAAACAGCAAGCTTTTCAGAAAAATGTTTCACAGTTGAACCATTATTTTGACTACCGGTAATAATAATATATATATTAATATAATAATATAATATAATAATATATATATAATAATAATATATATATAATAATAATAATAATAATACCGGTAGGGAGGGGGTGATAATCGTGAGGCTCAGGACTAGTGTTACTTGAAGAACTGCTGTTGTTGTGCAAAGGTTCAGGATCACATTCAAATGTGTCATTGCCTCCATCAAAATTATTCACTAATGGAGGAGCTACGGTGGAATCAGTTTCTTCAGAGGTGCATGGGTTTAGAAGATCATTACTACGTTCAGATAAAAGGAAACGGTTTAGCAAAAGTTCAGAAGCAATCTTTCTGTTCTTCTGTCTTTTACTCAGACTATATGATGGAATAAAACTTCTTTTTGACATCTTCCTCCATAAATTGAGATAAATAAAATTGTATCTGAAACAATTTTCAATATTTTGACAAAAGCTTATAAATTTAAGCGGAATAAGCTACATTTTGAAATGAATTTGGAATTGAACTACCCTACCAACAATGAACAACAATGAATGTTGACTTGATTCAGCAGCATAACAACCTTTAGTATTTACACTACACACAACCATCAATTTTCGTCCAACTAAATACGCAGCAACTAAATCAAACTAACCCAACTATTTATTCAAGCTACTTCAAAACCAAATAAATATAAAGCAAACCTACATAATACTACACGAGGACACCAACCAAATTAACCCTCCGAGTGTCCATAGTTTAGGCCTTAATGTCCGCCTATTTTTTGCGCATTTGCAAGGTTTTATTAAAACGGATCTGAGAAGCTTAAAACAATGTTAATTCTACTGTTCTATATACCATTTTGTTTGGAAAATGATGGGCTTCAATATTATACATAAAACATAAGGAACATTTGTTTAAAAAAAAATTTTAGGTAAAAAAAAATATTTTGGAAAATTTTCAAAAAAAAAATAAGTAGCCAATGAAATTGTATAAATTATAGGCCTATAAATATTTGAAAATAGCCACTTTGTTCTAAATTTTATGAGGATTACAAATATATAATAATATAAGGAAGTAGATTTGCAAATAAATAAGTTATGGGCAAAAAACAGATTTCAGTACATAGCGTTTAGCTAAGAATACATAGCCTAACCATAGCTAGGAATCTGGCTGATAATTTACATCAATATCACTACCTACTTCTTCAGGATCATCAACCAGCCCTTCAAAATCACTTAAATCTTTTTATAATGCACCACGTATATCACTACTTTTGATTTTTAACACTAAAACAATGATAAACGTAATAAAACACATCAGTCATCGGTCCGAGGTTAACCTAGCTGTTTACAAATACGCACGTCAGCTATCTGCTACAATATTTTCGGAACTAAAAGCGCTTAGAGACAGACCTCCGGAGAAAGCTCTGAATCTAACAAAAAGAACGATACCTAACTCGATCCAGTTCAATCCGATTCAGTCAGTCATAGAGCCTTCGCCGTAAACGATGTTCGTGTGTCGAAAAATCGACAAGTGACAGTACACAAAGTGTGTCGTGAGTTGATTTTTCGACAAGTGACGCTCGAAGGGTTAAGGAAAAACTAATAACATGTGAAACATACCTACCTACAACAATGAATGTTGTTGATTCAACAGCATAACAACCTTATTCCTGTTTTTAACATTAAACAACCTTCTGTATTTACAATACATAGCCATCAATTTTCTTTCAACTAAATACGCAGCCACTAAATAAAACTAACCCAACTATTTATTCAAGCTACTTCAAAACCAAATAGGCCTAAATATAAAGCAAATCTACATAATACTACACAACTGAGGACACCAACCAAATTAAGGAAAATCTAATAACATGCGTGAAACATATCTATTATATAGCCTATTTTATATAGCCTATAGGCCTATATCTATATATTCTTATCAATATTTTATTTTTATATCAGATAGGCTTATATAGGAATAACAAATTGAAACATCAGCTGAGGATGAATAAACATTGTTCAGTATCAAGCAAACAATTTAAAAAATATTAAACTTATATTGAAATGAAACTGTTCTAAACTAACCAAATCAACCAAACTTGCTGTAACATTTCAAAATTCCATTTCATAGACTAAGTCATTCCCCATATGCACTTTCTGTTAACGAAATTTTGAAACGGTAGCTTAGCCTACAGCAAGTTTGGTTATGTACGGTACCTAAGTTATATTAGGTTAATGTAGGTTAGAATAGTTTCTTTTCCTAATCCAATATTTATAGGCCTATAGACTATTTTTCATAAACAAGGTTTGGCCTAAGCTTAGTTCTTAATTTGTAATTTAAATGGGTTTGAAGATATTAAAACAGAAGGAACACAGATCGTGTAAAACAAAAATAGGCTACAGTAATGATTTTTCGAAAAGACATCATCAATGATAACCACTTAATAATGAATGTTCCCTTTGACTGCACTTTA